AAGAAAAATGGCCGCCATTTTTTTAAACTCCAATATCTTTTGAAAGAAAAAAAAAATTTCATAAATCAAAGTGACATTTCAATTCACTATAAAGTTTTTTCAATCAAAGTAAAAAGCAGGTCGGAAATTGATCGTAGTGGCACTTAATTTAAACCTCATTATTTTCACTTTTTAGATCGCGAAGACTAAATAAACGTCCAAAGAGAAAAATCGCTTAAATCAATTTGAATTAAATGATTCCAGGCTACAAAGCAGGAGAAAAAAGTTTTAAATTAATTTTCTGAATATAAAAAGAGCAATCTGACATGCCGAGATTCAGTTACCGAATATTCATGAATAAAAAAATCACATTTGCTTTTGATGGGCAGGATATCTTAATATAATTGGTGCTTATACTCTACTTAATCAAAGTAAGCGCATACGTTTTCGAAATTGGCATTAACGAATTTGTAATGGCTTATTAAAATACAGAGTATATACATAACCCGTAAATATTGGGTTATCGTGTGACACACGAGAAATAAGGACACAAAAGAAATAGGGGTTTCGAATTCCTTATACTAGCTGTTATAATTTTTGAGCTTGTACATGCCATGCCGTTCACCCATATCTTATACCCGTGCCTCGTCTTTCCAATATAGGTCCACCACAACAAACTCTTCCCCACTGACAGTTGTAGAAATTTGAAACGCTTTAGATGATCAAAGACGAAACGAGACACCAGCATCATACTTGTGAGTATTGCAGCCAGATGTAACACTTCCCCATCCATTGTGAGTACAGCTGCCAAGGTCGGATTCTGAACCAGTACACCCCATGTAATTCAGCCAGACTTTACCCGTCCCTCGTCCATTGTGCGAAGCGACATGCAACCTTCGCTTCCTCCATATACCAGTCATTAGTACACACTGTTCCCATTGATTCTGGTGATACACCTCAATGAGACTTATATCACTGGATAACCATATTTTAGGATATTCTTCGACGATTTAAAATTGTGATATAGCACGCTAAAATTTTATTAGATTATAAAAGGCTTAGAGTTTAAAAGAACTTAAAAGTATTAAACGTTTTTGACCGAAATCATCATCAGGATAAGTACAATTTATAGAAGCCAAGCAAGTTTTTTCAATTCAGATTATTTAGTTTTAGATGGAAGACCATGGTGTAAGACAAAATCTTAAAGAGAGTTATCGCAAACAGCAAGTTTAGTTCAATGCTTGAAAACTACGGAACAGGAACAGACAGCGTTTTAAAATAGGTTTTTTTTCGGAATACCCTCGCTTAGATTGTATTACACGAATAACTTACAGCTCTAGAAATATAAAAGTTACAAACATATAGTTTTCAAAGTAAAGTAGTACTATCACTTCGGTAGTGCTACTGAAACACTATTGTATGATGTTCTGATTTGCACCACGACGACAGCACACGACACCTGCATCAACAGTGTGATCGCAAGAGGAAACTTGTCCCCATCCATTGTGGCTACAGCTTCCAAGTGAGGTTTCTGAGCCTGTACACTGCATGAGCCACAGCCATATCTTACCCGTCCCTCGTCCATAGTGCGAAGCTCCTACAGCTTTGGCAAAACCAAGTTGTCGACATGCAACCTTCGCATCTGGTATATCCCAGTAACCTTGACACACTGTTCCCCATTGACGTTGGTGATACACCTCTGAGATACCAAACAGCATCACACTCACTAATAAACGCCGAGAAGAATTACTTACTCAATAATATAAACAAAGTACAAGATATCAGCATCATATTAGTGAGTATTGCAGCTAGAGCCAACGCTTCCCCATCCATCGTGAGTAGTATATTCAGCACCGTTCGAGCCCGGTTTTTGCGCCTGAAATGCGCCTGAA